TGAAACCTGTCTTTAAAAACATCTTTAAAAAATTTCAATGAAAATCTCTGGATTTGTTTCAATTCCAAATGCAAACGTTCAACTTTTGTTTTCAAGCATCGGTTGAGTTTAACTGTCAATTTGGTAGTGTAGGGATAACATAAATGACGGGCCAACAGTAAAAACCTGAATTCGAATATCATCGCAGGGAACAGTTTTGTTTATTAGGTATACGTGTGGTACGGTTCATATATTATAATACTGCGTAGCTTTTGAAATAATGCGAGAAAGCATGTCCTGTATTCGAACTGCTAGTTTTATAGCACGTAATATAGTTATTAAGTGTATTTCGATACCAGTAATTTTAATATTTTTCATGATCTCTATGTATAGTGATATTATTCCGCATTCTACTGCAATTCCGCCACCCAACTGGAACAATACCCTGTAAAAGTAAGGAAATGAAAACATCGAAATACAAAGTACATTCTCAATCTTTAAGCTATGTCCAGCTAATTGCTCAAACAGATGTCGTATACACAGTTTTTTGGATCATCGAGTCCACTACATTTTAAATGGGCCGACGTAGAGCTAGTACCTGAAGAGTAATTTATGTTTTCCCTACAAAATGTAAATAATCTTAATTGCAATTTAATGAAATGAGCGTCATAAGTTCAATTATCTATAAAAACATTAAAACGTCACCCTTGCCACTAAATTACGCCAACATGGACTATTATTTCCCGCACATATTTTCTCGTAACTCAGAAGCACGTTGATGTGTAACTTAATTTCAAAGTGCACAGCATTCACCCTATATTAATCATGTGTTGTTTATTTATCTACAGAGGGACACAAAATGAATTTACCGCATAAGAACCGGTAAACTAATTTAGCGCTCCTTGTCACATCGTAGGAAGCTTTACTACAGCGCTGAAAACAGCTATTTCTCAATATTATGGCACCATGCATAAAATCTTATTGGAAACACACACAATCTGTATCCTAATGTTTCTACCTTTCTCTGCACGACTTCGTCACATTTGGGTCAGCGGGCATTCGTGTTTTGAATGAGCAGACATTCGAAACCCATGGGTGGCATTGCCGACGGTGGCGGCATTCGTCCTTCTTCCTCAGATTCCACACGTATAGAGACTGTTCTGACCTAAAAAAGAAAATAATATTTATTTTAATCATGATATTTAATGAATTAGTTGACAATTTTAATACATAATTTTAAAACGACTAAATATACCTGGAGTAAGTTATGTACTTCGTCTTCTGGATCAATGACTCTCATCCCGATGAGATTTTTCTTGGAGTTTCCCATTGAACAAATGTTGAGATAACCACTTGTTTTGCTTCTGGACCCAAATCTAGTTTCACTAAGCGCCCGTTTTGTTGAGCTCTCCTTTTGCTAGTTGTGGTATATAGAGCGGGATTGGGTTACTATTTTGTTAGCAATAAAACAAAATCAAATCTTAGCTCGTTTACCTGTGCAAATACGTTTTCTATAACTCAGGGGCGAAAATGTGCGACATCGTTCCACACGAATCCTTTAATGTACAAGGTGGTGTTGATTGAAAAGATTGTAGTTAAGAGACTAACATGCGGAAATAATTTAGATGACATTGAATTATTCATTTGTTTACAGAAATCAATCTAGTTAGAATTAAGAAAACTCATGTAATAAGTCTCAATTATTACTGGATTCGAATGAAATGTTAGTTGTGCCATGAAATCATTATCAGAAATATTATTATATTCCATGTGAAGGAGCTCGAAATTTAAAGTGCATGATAAAATAAAACAAAATGAAAATTTTACCCATTAATTTATATACTCCTTTCATCTGCTAGTATCTTGTTTCATAGTGATGTTTCAAATCTTATTTTCAGGAGATCAACAATTTTTCAACTATAATTAGAAATATAGATTTCAGAGAAGAAGCAACAACAATATCTAACACTCCAATATTATCAATTACACCCTCATCAAGTGGAAGCTTATCTGATAACTCTGTTCAAAAAACATCAGAAGTTCCTATTAATGAAAATTATTCATTCAATACATCCTTTTCACCTTCACCAACAATTATACAAGATCATCACCAAAAGGTAATACAATCTAGGTTGCGTACAGATTTTTTTGATCAACACAATAATCTTGTTTCAGCTCATAAAAATCCACATAGGAGTTCCGGATAATAACGAAGAAAATAGCAGGAAAATAAATACTAAATAAAAATTAATAATATCACACTTAACTTCTTTAATCCGAATTCATTATATTTATGAAATTAATTCTTTAATTCCTCTTCTTTATTCCAGTTGCTAATTAACATGTAATGAACAGAAACATACTAGAAGAGTAATGGGATATGAATTTTAATATGTATTGTCAACATTGTTGTGTTTGGCATATTACTTACCTATGAGTCATCCAATGAGTCATAACTAAGTCCAAATTTATAAAAAAAACATTTTTTGCAGAACATTTATCACATCTTTCTCTATCAACATCATTAGGTAGCTAGAAAACATGTTAATTTCTTGTGAAAAATCCAAATAAAAGTTCCATCCTGTCCCTGAAGCATTGTAGTCCATGATTCCTAAACTATTTAAAATTCCCTCCGATTGACTTTGAAAGTTCCATGGCTCTTGGAGTTCAAATCATTTTTCATGGCCGTTCACGAGTTTTTGCTACAACACTATTCTAGTATACTATGTGGATACTACATTGCGTTTTATAAACTATTTCCTAGCGAATTTCTGTACATGTGATTCTTAAGATTTGGTGGGATTTTATTGAGTAGCAGTAGATTCGGTGCTTCTTAAGATTTGGTGGGATTTTATTGAGTAGCAACATTGGTGATCAAATCATACAGTATGATGTGCGGAAACGTCAGTGCGGATTGTGAATAAAAGAATGGCCCAAGCAGAATTCATGGAAGAGAAAGTTAAAGAAAGATACAAGATAAGAAAGGATAGTAATGGTCATGAACGCTTAATACGAGCAATTCAATATTATATTCCAATCTTTCGTAGAGAAAAATAAAGTAAGAGTATGCCAAAACTCATTCCTTAAACTTCTGCAATTTTCTTAGTGTCGAGTGCAACTTTGTAAAGCCGTCTGGAGTAAGTCTTCTCAAAGCTTGACCTAGACCCAGTCTACACAAGGCTGCCGGTAGAAGAGGAAGCTGTACGACTATTCACGACTACAACAGTAAAGGGGATATTCACGGTTCATTGACTGCAATTTGTCATATCAGCCGCCCCTGGCATCTTCCAGC